TATGGCTTCAAACAATCGCTACAGATACAGCCCAATTTATTGTCCAACTCTGGCCACAGTCCAGATAGACAGACCTATTTTTCCGCTGCCCACTTGATAGCTCCTTCCAGAGTCTGAGGCAATGGATCCCAGGGCATTCTTCCTCCAATTCCCCCTCCGTGCAGCACACCCCCGACTTCCAGTGCTCATGGGCACTCCTACCCTGTCTCAGCTGCTGGTGGCCAGTCAACAACCCATTCACATACCCCTGGCCTCTATGGAGAATCCACTGTACACAGGAGGTAAAACTCCAGCTCCCAGCAGGCATCAAGACAACTTTCAGTTCTGAAGCACTGTCGTAGTTCATCCAGAATGATGTAGGAGCCATCTATGCTCTTCCTGATAGAGGGCTCTCAGGGAGGGTAAGGTGTGCAGCATTTGGTTGGAGCATTCACCCCTCAAGCCTGCCCACTCAGACCACACTGCTACTTCCAGTTTGTGATGCTGGTTCCTGGATTCTCAAGCCCATTCGTGTTTCTTGTCCTGGACTCTCTCTTCCCTTCCCACTTCTTTGATCTTTTCCTCCACTGGGCTGACCTGTGGACTCAGAGGTCTGAACTTCACATGTGGCCTCTTTCACAATTTCTGGCCATTACTCTCCCCTCTTGGAGCCTCATGATGCCTCTCACTGGCTGGGGGAGTCTTGTCTGTTCTCCTTCCCTGGATCCTGGTCAGTCTGACCAAATCCTTCTCAAAACAGGGAGGAAATGTCCTGTCGACATTTCAGAATTTTAAATCATACTCACTCAGAGGTAGCCTTTAACTTAGGACATGGTTGCATGAATCCCTGTTTAACCTAATTAGAAAACAGGAAGGCACAAATTAAAACAGCAGTGAGACAATAGTTTTACTCATAATTATGACCAAAATTTAAAAGAATGATAAAATAAAATACTTTTGAGAGTGAAGGGTAGTCACATACATAAACTTTGATAACACAGATTGGTACAGCACTTTTGGAGTAAAAGTTTGGCAATATTTATAAAAATTTACAATGCTCACAACCTTTCCACTTTAACAAAATAACTTCCTTGATATGTTTACTGTAGTTACCTTTGAATAGGGGGATGAATTTGGGAGCAACTCTATAAAGGGAGGATTATGTATTATGCATTTTTGCAATAAGTTTATACACACTACTACCTTTTAAATCAAAATATTTATATAAATCTAGCAATAGAAATAGAATCTGTGTCAGTTAAGTATCTGCAAGATGTGATAGATAAACCCTGATATTTGAATGACAACAGAACAAAAGTTGACTTTATGTGCACATAAATTCAAATACAGTTTGCCAGAGGCTTTCTGCTCTCAGGCTACCAGGGATCCAGGCTGCTTCCATCTTGTGGCTCCGCCATTCCCAGGAAGGGTTACCACATTTGCTGTGGATTGGAGGGAGACCGTGTGGAAAGGGCACACTGGCTCTCAAGTGTCTGGATGTGACAGACAATACTCTTGCTCATGTTTTCTTGAAAAAGGGAGTCACATGATCCCTTTTGACGAGAAGTGGACTGGCAATGCAGTCTTCCCATGGGCCCACACCAAAGAGGAAGATGAGATATGGATGACACTTTGTCGTTTCCTCACACACGTTTACATAGAAGGTTCAACAACAAGCCATTATTACAACTTGTTAAGACAAGAATAGTCTTCATTTATTGGAGTTTTTGAGAAGGCCAAATTTGCCTTAAATTCCCCAACTTTTTCAAATCCCTACCATGTGGCAGGTGCTTTCAATTATAGGATCACATGTAATTTTCCAAGGGTCTTGTATTCTCAGCCAGGATGGTTCAACTATTCCAAGCAATAGCACTTGTCTGCAGTACCCTTTGCAATACTGCACATATTCTCAGTAGGCTGGGAAATTTTCCTTCCTTTTAATGTGTGCTCAAAAATCTTATAGTCTCTGATACTTGTTACATGACTGAACATGCCTGAGCACAAATACTCACACCATTAGGCACTCTGGAATCCAGGATTTTCCGGTGGGACAGGCACACAGACAAGAAACAGTAGAAAGATGATGACGATGATGATTTTTTGATTAAAGTGAGCATGTCCACCAAGAAACCATTTTTCACTTCCTACAGTGCTCTAGAATTTGTAGGAATCAGTCTCTGTACGTGTTTGCTGTGCAGTGATTTCCTTGTCTTTTCCTTATCTTGTGAGAGAGGCTTTGGCTTTTGACCTGGGCAAGCTCCTACATCTGTGTATGTGTTCACAGCTCAGTTTCAAAACAGATATCCTATTAAAATCTTCCTGCAGATACCAAGTGGTTTCAAAAACCCATCCTCCAATTTCAGGACTATCTGAAAAACTAGTAGATTATGACTCAAGTCAGTCTGTACTCACAGCTCATTTGGAAAACAGATACCCAGGGGAAGGATCAGTTGTCTAAACATAGCTGTCCAAAGCCAACTTTTATATTGAAAAGGCTGTTGCTGTAAGAGGGATTTCCAGGGATCAGACTTGACAGTCAGAGTACTTCTACAGGGACTAGGCATGCTCTATGTCATAGGGTAAGCAGGGGACTTGGAGTTGCCCCAATGGGATCAAAGAGGTGTCTTCAGAGGAGACCTCAGCAACAAGTTACTTGGCAGGTCATGTTTCAGAGTAGATAGAAGGCACACTGGGGACGCCAAGGAGAAGGGCACTGTTATGCAGGAAAGTGCTGGCTCTGGGAAGAAACGCCAGCTCCTTGGTAGAGTCAGTTCTCAAGGAACCCTGGGGATGGAGACAAGAAGCCCCTAGATTCATAAAGTCAATAGGCCACCTCAAATGATGTTGAATTCTCATTGTCACCTTCTGTAAGCCTGCTTTTAGTCCCTTGCCCTCAGGGTCCTTCTTTTTGTTGCCTGAGAGATATGTTGCAGTGATGAAAAATGGAATGGTCAGGAAGTAGGGCTCAGGCTGGGAGGGGTGGGGACGCTGTGGACACAAGAGTAATTCAGTCCAGGGGTCTGGTCCCAGACCTGTCAATTACTAGTCATGTGATTCTGGGAGAGGACCAAGACCTATGAGCCTCAGGTTCTTTATCTGTGAAGTGGGTGTGATAAACCCTGTCCTGTAGGATTGTTGGGATGTGTGCCGTGTAAGAAAAGCACCTGGTTCTGGAGCAGGTGTCAATAGAACTTTCATGAACTGCAGATGGCTGTTATTTCCAATACTGTATTATTTTGACCTCGGACGCTATGACAGTCTACTTTGAAACTGTTATTGTTGTTACCCAGAACATCTCAGAATATGCAACTCAATGGGACATGGAATCCCAAATCAGTCAAAAATGTTTCTTCTTGAATAAAACTCAGTATATTTTCCCTCTTAGGGGATATATTTTCCAATTTGGGTGTGTTTTAGGCTCCCCCAGCTGCATGCAGTTCAAAGTCCCAGGAATTTGGGTCAAGGACCAACTCCTTCCCTTCCTCCCAGCTGCTTTTCTATCCACCCAGTGATTTTCATTCATTTCTGCCCAACCAAAAATGTAGCTCTTGCTTAGAGTTGTCCAAATTACACTGAAGGTAGCCCATCAGTTCATTGGCTTATTTATCAGAAAATCCTTATTTTTCAGGACATCCTTGCAGTTTATGGGTATAAAATACCTAGTTCATGCACTATGTTATAAAGCAGTGGGACAAGAGTGCAAGACCCCTTCCACTCCTGCTTCATCCACCATTCAAAAAGAACTGCTCAAAGCTGTTTTCCATCCCAGGATCTTCTTCCAACCCTAAGAATCACTGCCTGAGGGTCTGGCTTCTGCCACCATCCAGCCTCATTACAATCAGCTCCATCCACAGAAAAAACCCTGCAGTTTCCCAAAGCCCTTGCCTCAGGACTGCTCTGACCTGGAGGCCTATACTCGCACCCTTGTCTTACTTTCCCTCTAGGTCTTACAGGACATCTCATCTCCTTCATTACATGACTGCAGCTCCTAGACTCTATCATCCTGTGGGTAGGGGTGGGTCTGTCTTGTCCTGGCATCTCCACTAACCCAGAGCCTTCCAAAAACCAGAGGCTCAATGAATGATGAGAGAAGAAATGAGCAGTGAGCAAAGGTTTTAATTACGACAATTTAATTGTGATTTGAATAAGCTAACAAAATCCAGATATGGAACTTCTAATTTTACAGAATGACAGGCCAAAACCAAGGAAATAAACAATTAACACTTTAAAAATATTTTCTCTGTTTTACTGCCAAGTTCTTTCACATTTCCAAGAACATTTCTATTCCAGCACCATGATATCTTATTACAGGTTACAAATAAGATGGAAGGCTTCCCAGTTTGTTTTGCAAAATAGCAAAGAATCTTTCTTAAACTGGATAAGTAGCAATAAATGTGTGGCCAACGTCATTTGTAAGCTTATATTCTAAAATTAATGAATTTTGCAGTAAAAGTAACAACATTTTAAAACGCAAAGAAGAAATCTTCAAGTTATGCAAATACAACAGTAAGAAACTAATATGTTATAAACAGTGTTCCCCTCAGCGCCAGTCTGGCCCTCCAGTACATGTATCACTGACTTACACTTTAAAAAAATTGTTTAATTTTTTAACAAAGTTTTTGATATTTAATTGCAGATATTGATGAGGCAAAATGTGATATTTTGAAACATGTGCACATTGTATGACGATCAAATCAGGGAAGCTAATGTGTCCATCACCTCGTGAATTTATCATTTCTTTGTGGTGAGAACATTCAAAGCCTCTCTTCTAGCTATTTTGTAACATACAACACCGTACTATTAACTATAGTCACCCTACTGTGCAATAGAACACCAGAACGCCTTCCTCCTATCTAGCAGTGATGTTTCCATGTTGACTAGCCTCTCCCCAGCCCCTTCTTCCCTCTCCCCTCCCTAGTCTCTAGTGACTGTTCTACTCTCTACTTCTATGGTATCAACTTTTTTTAAGATTCCATATATGAACGAAATCTTTAAAAACATAGTGTAGAATCTGCCTGACTTTACTCAGGGTAGAAGAGGCAGCTCGTGGCACTAGAACTTGCACTGGCCATAGCAGTAGCATCATCTGTGGTGACAATGCTGGCCTGGGCTCTCTCTTCCTCATCTCTCAAAGCCTCCTCATACAACACTGGAAAGGATCTGGGATCTCTCCTCCTGATATTGACCAAAAACTTCAGGAGATTCATCTTGCTAACTTCTGTGTGGGCCCTGGGACCCCACAGGAACTCATAGCGCGCAGGATCACTGCCGGGCACCTGCTGGTACTCCAAGTACTGTTCCTGCACCCACTCTTGGGTGAGTAGCTTCCTGGGTTCCCCATAGATGCAGTGCTTCTTCCCCACACACACCCCCATCTTACTCAGTGCTTCCCAGACGACCTCCTCAGGGGTGCGGTTGCCCTCTGTGAAGATAAGACTTAGGACATTTATCAAGAGGCCAATCTTTGGATTTCCCTGGTCATCCCCCTGCATGCCATCGTAGGAGAGGCCCAGGGAGGTGACAAGGATGAAAGAATGGTTGGTAGGATCAACTTCCTTCATGTCAAGGCCAAAGATCAGCCTCATACACTCAGCAGCTTCTCTAAAGATCTCAGGGAAATGGTTCTCATAATTTTTTATGACAACACTGAGCATTTCAGCCTTTGCAACTGGCTCCTTGGTTCTATACTTATGGAGCAAGAACTCCACCAACTCACCCACCTTTTCATCTATCTCATTTCTGGGCAAGGGCTCAGTGTCTGGCAGGGTCTGCAAGGTGCTTGGACTCTCCTCTTTTGGGCTGCTGGAACTCTCATCAGATTGGCTTAAAAATGTGGAGGCAATGCCAGTGTGGTAGGAACAGGCTGACTGAGAACTCTGGGAAGTGCTTGGTGTCTCAGCATCAGCAGAAACCTCCTCTGGGGTGCTCAATATTAAAGGATGCCAGGAAGAGGATGAAGATGAGGAGGAAGAGGAGGGGAAAGAGGATGGAAAAGAGGAGGAACAGGTCGAGGAGGATGAGGACGCATCCTCCTCCACAGCTGGGGAAACATGTGCACCCATGATGTCTTGTGTCTCACTTTGAGACTGAAATTCTTCCTCAAGCATGTAGCGCCGACGCTTTGGAGCTCTGGACATGATGGCTCTGGTCAGGGTAGCAGTCAGGAGTGTGGGCAGGAGTTGAGCGATGGAGACCACAGGCCTGGGGAGAGAGGGAGAGACTGAATGGTCTCAGCTGAGAAACACTCCCTAGAAGCTCTAAAAACGACCAACTTACAGGTTTCTCCTTAGATACTGCTCTGGGCCTCCCTGGGCTCCTGTAATCCTGGTAGACTCACCCCTAAGAACCTGAAGGAAAAAGAGAGATGGCTCCTTAGGGGACAACCAGTTGGTGGAACTTAAGCTCTAGGCCTAACAACAGGGTGGGTGGGGCTAGGTGCTATGGGAGCCTCTCTGTTCTGGAGATCACCTCACCTTGACTCCTGACACTGCCAGTGCCTCCTCTGCTTTGAGACCTGAGGACACTACCTGAGACCAAAGCTTCACCTCCTGTTGCCTGGCACTCCTGCAAGAGGAGTCAAGAAGCCCTCAGGTTGCAGCCTTCAAGCACAGCCTCAGGACTCCCTAGCACTGTTGGGAGTGCGGGCCAGACTTGGTTAGGTTCTCACTTTTTTAAGATTCAGGGGATACACATGCGTGTTCACTTCATGGACATATTGTATAGTAGTGGGTATTGGGTCTCATGTGGCCTATTCCCCAGGTAGTGAGCATTATGCCCAATAGGTAGTTTCCGAACCCTAACTCTCTCCCCCCTTCCTCCTTATGGTTGTCCCCAGTGTCTGTTATTTCTTTCTTTGTGACCGCTTAGTTCTCACGTGTGAGTGAGAGCATGCGGTCTTTGGTTTTCTGTTCCTGAGTTAGTTTACTTAGGATAATGATATCCAGCTCCACCCATGTTGCTGCAAAGGACATTGTTTCTTTCTTTTTGATTGCTGATTGGTAGTCCATAGTGTATATATACCACATTTTCATTGTCCACTGATTGGTTGATGGATATTTAGGTTGATTCCACATCTTTGCAATTGTGAATTGTGCCGAGATGAACATGCAGGTGCAGGTGTCTTTTTTATATAACAACTCCTGTTCTTTAGGAGGTCCTCACTCTTTTGGGTTGGATGGTCCTCTCAGTGCTCATACAAAGCCCTTAGCCGTTCCCAGGCAGGGCCTTGACCCACCCTTCTGCTTGCCTGAGGAACTCTCAGAACAAGAACTCACATCCCTGAGACCAAGAAGGCAGTGTCTGGGACTCACATGTGGTCATGGCTACCCAGGGTCAACAGGTGGCCAAGAAAGATGCCTAGTTGTGGCAAATTCAGTGGAGACCATCTGTCCTAGGGGATGGAATTGAAGGGGTGCCACAGGCAGCCACTGTGCATCAGGTCCTCCCATGGCTGACAGAAGGGTAAGTCAATTCTGGGTTCTGGCATGTTCTGGTGTGGGGTGTCCCCTCTGTCCTCCCTCAGGATCTTCATGTAGGTGCCTGTTAGAGTCTCAGACTCCCTCCTCTGCTGACTTGAGTCCAGCCCTCTGTGCTAAAGCCTTCTCTCCCTCAGATTCCCATAGTGGATTCTAGGAAACCTCACATCCATCCTCCTCTCTCACCTTACACCCCAACCTGGCACTCCCAAGAATGACATTAGCAGGGTGGAATGCTTTGGAGGTTGTACCCTCTGATTTGGATTCCAGAGTCCTCTCAGCCCCTCTTCAGAGTCCACACTTTGACTCCTGCCACGCCTTGGACTCTCTTTTGCAGATCTTAGACCCACCCCTTGGAATCATGCCAGAACCCAGAACTGACTTACCCTTCTGTCAGCCATGGGAGGACCTGATGAACAGTGGCTGCCTGTGGTGCCCCTTCAATTCCATTCCCTAGGACAGATGGTCTCCACTGAATTTGCAGACCCAATCCCCAAAGTCAGGGGATACCGTACCAGTCATCCTTGCCTGGGCTCTCCCAGGTCTCCTTGCAGGGGTAAAATGTGTCAGGGTCCCCTTATCCTCTCTGAACGTGCTCATGTTGACTCGTAGCAGGACTAGGGACACTTCCCGCTGCTGTCCTGAGTTCAGCCTCATTTCACCAAAGCCCTCACTTCCCCAAGATTCAGACTGGAAATGAGTTGGCCTAAAAGCACATGCAAGACTGGAGGGTTTTCTTTGCTCTTTGGTGGGTAAACTCCTCCATTTTCCCTCGGGGTTCTGACCTTGAAACAAAGTATTGCCTGGTCCCCAATCTCTGCTGACCTGCATCTATCTATCTCTTACACCAAGGCTCTAAGTCCCCTGAAGCAGAAGGGGTTTGAAGAGGGGCCTAGCCTGACAAATCTGCCTGGTAGTCCAGGGCTGACAGCATGGGCAGAGCTATATTATCAGGATTCCTCTATCTGGGGTGGGGACTCCTCGGTTGGACCTCAGCAACTCACCTGACTCTGTACAGTGCATGGGATGTCTCCCCTCTGCTGATCTGAAGCCCGATGCTCAAAATGAAGACCCTACTTTTCACTGATCAACTCGAACCCTAGGTGGAAGTCAGTGAATAGCCACATCCATCACCATGTCCAGGGGTCCAGGGCTTCCCAGGGCTGACAGCCGGGGCAGAGATGGACTCTGTGGGGCTTCTCTATCAGGATGGGGTGGATCCCCTCAGTTCTCCCTCAGGGTCCTGGCAGGGCCTAAGATCCCACTCTCTGAACTTGAGTCTGCCCTGATCACACCAATCTCTGACTCCCAGAGTCCCTTGAGGCACAAGAGGGGTGGGGCCCAGCCTGAAAAAGTCGGCTCCTGGGTGGTCCTGGGCTGGCAGCAGGGGCAAAACTGGATTATTAGGGCTCATCTGTCTGGGGTTGGGGCCTCCTCAGTCCTCTCTCAGTATCTTACCTGACTCCTAACAGAGGCTGGGTCGCTATCCTCTGCTAATCTGAAGGCCAAGCCTCGGACGGAGGCCCTCACCTCTCTCGGACCCCTGAGGCGGAAGTCAGTTAACGTCAGTAGACGTCACATCCGCCCACCGTGCACTGCGCTTCCCAGGGCTGACAGCAGGGGCAGAAGAGGGTTCTGTCAGGGGTGTGAGAGGGGGCGGGGACAACCTCAGTCTTTCCTCAGGGTCCTGATCTTGACGCCTGGACAATCCTGGGTGTCAGTCCTCTGCTGACCAGTGTCTGCTCCCCTCAGACCAGGGCTGACTCTGGTCAAGAGTACTCTGTGGTTTAAGTGGCAGGAGGGGAGTGTTCAGGCTGACAAAGCTGCTGGAGTCTTCCAGGGCTGACTACAGGGTCTGACCTGAAATCTGTGGGCCCCATCCATGTGGAGTGTGTGGACCCACAGTCTTCACTAATAAGGGTCCTCATCTTGGCTCCTGGCTCTTTGATTATGTGATCAGCGGGAGATATCCCCTTCTGTCACATCTGATCACTTGCCCAGCTGCAACCCTTGCCGAGAATGATTGCAAGTCCCAGGCTAGAGCTCCATGGGGGCGCTGCAGCACCCATGGTTTTAGTGTCCTGTAAGGCGACGCACACCTTCCCATGGGGACGCTTCACCAGCCAGAGGTGGAGTTTGGAAGCTTTCCTCCTAATAGATTTATTTTTACATTGAAGAGGCTGACCAGCAGCAGGGGATTGGGGAGATCCTGCTTATTTAAGTTATCTAACATTTCATAGAAGAGTTTAGTGATTTTCGTATTTCAATTTTCATTCATGTAGCAAGAAATATATTTTACATTTCTCCCAACTGTATGTATCGATTATATGTATGATATATTGATATATGAAGACCACATTTATATTTATGTTTATATACATAAACACATATATGCTCATATGTATGTCATAAATGCATAATTATAAGTATTTATTTTTACATATATTTGTACACGTGTATATGTAAACTATATATATTTATTTTATTTAACGATATTTACTTATATGTGATCCATGCATATTTAACTATTCTATTTCTAGTTCATTCTTTATATTCTTTTAAAATAATTGTTTTGGAAGGCCTGTTGTCACCCACTAAGGTGGTCTCAGGTGAATATTAGGACTCTGGAGTCATAATGTCTCAATCGACCCCATCTTGCCTGCTGTCCTGATGTCACCCCAAAACTACTAGCATCCTAGTGTGAGGTGCCACCTCAGGCTGTGCAATGAAGCAGGACCAGAAGTTCAAACATTTACTTCTACCTGCTCTGTCATCTGCCATCTATGCAGGCTACAGACCTCCCAATCTCCCCTACCACCCCCCTCCTCAAGCAAGTACCATTTCAACACAGTCTTCAGGGCCCCCCCCCCATCCCCCGGGCCTTCCTAATGCTGGGTTTAGATTTGGTGGCTGATATTTTTTTCTTTCTTTTTTCTATAGTTTTCCACAGTTGATTTTTGGAGCTGAAGACAGCAGCTCACACTTGATTGTCCTCTTGGCAGCTCCAGGTAATCCAAAAAATTGTAAAGAATTTTATGAGAATTGACATTTTTACCATGTTCTGTTCCTGTCAATAAATATATTATGCTGCTCTACTTATTTCAGACTCCTTATACGCGAAACTAACAGTACACTTTTATAGTTGCCTCTATAAAGGCATCATACATTTTTAGGTTTCTTTTTAGGTAATTATTGGATTTTGTTGCTCTTGCAAATGGCATACTATTCATTAATTGTTCCAGTTGATGATTGTTTATGTGTGGCAGAAATGTTTTTGCTATAGTAATCTGTTATGCATCTGGTTCTGAAGTCTCATTCACTTAGCTATTCCACATGCTCATTACTTTGAATTTTCAAGATTATCCCTAAACATTATATATTTTCTCAGTACTCATACTTCTCATATATTTTTATATTTATAGCTGTGACTTTGGGTCTCAACACTGCTTAAAAATGTGGAGACAATAGCATGCATCTACATCTTGCTTCTGAATTTAATAATAATTCTTCTGAAGTTTCATATTTAAGTATGTTTGCCACTGAGTTTAGAAAATAGATGTTCTCTTTCAATATTCGTTAACTAAGTGGGTTTTTTTGAAAATCATTAACGCATGCTGAATTTCTCTCAAAAGTTTTTTCTGTGTCCATTGACATGATCAAAT